TGTATTGAACCACATAAAAGGAGAAGATTTTAGACAAATATAATTAGGTATAAGTATATTCAACTACATAAAAAGTGACGAGTTTAGATAATATAACGGAATTGTTATTTTTAGATGGGGTCACCCTTTTTTTGAAGGTGTATATTATGTAATGGAGGGCATACAATGGGGCTTAATTGTAAGGGTTTTGAAAATTAACCCATCATTTGTAAATATTTCAAAAAATAAATTTTTGGGCATTCAGACAATAAATTTAATTTTAAATTTTCTTTACTCGTAAGTCAAACACTGAGCCTCCGTTTGGGAAGTGGGTTGGCATTTTGGCTTTTTGACTTTTTTAGCTATTTTAGTCTGGGTTAAAAAGCTTGGTTTGGAAAGAGTTTTTTGACTTTTTAAAATTTTTTTTATGAGAGAAGAGTATAATAATTATAGGTTGGATGTGATGTTTTGATTGTTATGACTAAAATAACCTATTTTATTTTTTGTGACTATTTTAATCCCAAAATCACTTGCCAAACACCACCTGAAACACTTTGTCCATAAAAACAATTCCTTATAAAATGATCAAACTACCCGTATATATAAATATTAGGAAAATGCGTGAGAGCTCGAATGTGTAGAGCTCGAATGGCTCGAAAATATGTAGGACAATCTTCACTGTATTTAAATAGAATAAATTCTGTTGTGTACAAAACAACAACAAGAATAAAAGAAATAGGGAAAATGAGAGAATTTGTTTGATTACAAAAATCAAACTCGAAACTTTACTGGTAAGTCCAACACTGAAACACTTTGTCCATGAAGACAATTCCATGTAAAATGATCAAACTACCGTATATATAAATATTATAGATGGAATACACTCATTTCAAATCCCTAATTCTCAGCCCCCCTCTTTCCATTCTATGTCTCTTCCCTCTATTCTCTTTCTCTCTACCTCACTGTTCGTAGCAGAGGTGGCGCTGCCGCCGACGGTTTCGAATGAGCACGGCAACAGACACATCGTTGTTTCACGACGTCATGTAGCACTCTGTTGTCGTCGAATGAGCACAAAAGCTCTACATTTCTCTAAACCAAACCAAACCCTACTCGCGCTCTCTCTCTCTTCGATCTGCCGCCGTTGACAGGCCTTCCCACTTCCCCACCACCGCATCTCCTCTCGCCGGCGTAGATCTTAATGCAGTAGGCCAAGATCTGAGGCGATCCACAGAGATCTGTGAACGATCCACACAGATTGCAGATCCATATCCCATATCTCTCTCTCTTAGCACACGACGGCGATGGTACTTCCATCGGCAGTCCACGGGCGGTTCACCACACCTGCACTGCACATGGCGATGCGGTCAAAAACTTTGTCTCTTGTTATATGACATAGCTTCATACGTATATGTAGATATTTATAAATTGATTTTGTTCTTGTTCTGTTTTGGGTGTAAATATGTGGTTTCAACGGCTATCACTTGGATGCATGGCCTTCATTGCGAAGATGATGAACCAAGGCTTGATGATGATGAAACATATTGCAACAGATAGGAAGGGAGGGGAGAGACAAATAGAAATTTGAACAGATAGGATTTGGTTTGACTTGATATTGCAACAGATAGAGGTTGATTTGGCTCAATAGATAGGATTCCGTTTAGCTTATATTTCTACAGATAGAAAAAAATTAAAAAATAAAATTGAACAGATTGATTTTAGACATTGAATTTGGAGAAAAAAATTGAACAGAAAATAAAATTTAAACATATATTTGAATAGATAAAGGGAACATATAATTAAAATTGTTCTACAGATAGTAACATTTTAAACAAATAAGGGAAAAAATTAAATAGATAGTAAAAAAATTTGAACAGATAGATATAAATTTGAACAAATTGGGAAAAAATTGACACATAGTCAACAAAAAATCAACAAACAAAAAAAAGTCAATAGATAAGTTAAAGAGTAAAATTGAAAACAAAATATTTTCCAAAATCAACGAAAGGACTTTTTACCAAACTATTTCATAAATAATGGATCTCTCATTAATAAAAAAAAATTCATTAAACCTAATATCTTATACTCTCCTTACCTTGGACTTTTTAACAATTTTCTCTAATATTTTTCCTATGACCTTTTTGCTGGTAATATTAATGTAAATATTTAGTATTGCTATTATTAATATATTGCTGGAGTTTCCTTGGGTCTGCAAGGAATCATCAAAACTTTTGTTCAATTTATTTTTCCTGATTTTTAAATTTTGACTGTTTTATCAGTTTCTATTTGAACCCAATAGCAGAGAATTTGTGTTATGCAGCGAATTAAACAGGACCAAAAAAGAAAAATGTTTCCGAGCTTTAAACAATGAGCTTTAAGAGAGGTCTAATCAATGGGCTCTACTTACTGATGTTAACTGATTTTAGAACTCATTGTTTAAAGCTCTCTAATGTAAAAATGAATGCTCTGCCTACTTTGCACTACTTGGGGTAACATTAAGCTGTTAACTCAACTTATCTTTTAGCAAAATAAGGTCAATAATATGGTTATTTGAGCAAAACTCCTAAAAACAGTTTTTTAATATTAGATTTAGACATTTAGCGTTAATTTTGATGTGTGTGCTTGGCATATGCTGCAATCCCCACATATTGTCACCCATGAAATTCTATTTATTTGAAAAAAAGAAGAGGGTAAATTAAATTAACACACCCTGAAATTTCTATTTAATACAGATATTTTTCTCATGTTTGAAAAATTACATTCTCCTCCTTGAAGTTTGTAATTTCATTACAAATTGGCCTCCGGATTGCTAATGTTATGCCGTAAAATTTTCTAAATGTCCATTTTGAACTTGTTCCTATCATTTCTTCTCTCTATCATTATGACTCTATTCTACAACTTTCCATCATTAAATTCTACATGAACATATTCTTATTGAGTGATGATAAACAAACATAAATTTTATATAAAATTTTCAAACACAATGATATAGTTTAATAGTGACCTTTCACTTTAAAACGAAACATCCATAAACATGATTTATATTTACAACAACATCACTATCACAACATTTTTATGATATTTTTTGTATAAATTTTTATATATAAATAGAATTTTTTGTTTTTATTTTCATTTCCACCATCATTTTTCTTTCTTGTCTATTCACTTACATTTATTACGGTATTACCAAATACCGCCATTCACATTTATTACAGTATTGCTGAATTTTTGTATTTTTATATTTTTTTTTATTTGGTGAATTTAAAAAAAAAAATCACAAAATATTATACTTCTTAAGTATATCTAGATTAGGTGTATTTAAAAAAAAATTAAAAATTACTTAAAATATTAAAAAAATATATAGCAAAAATAAAAAAAATAAAAAAAATTCTTTTTTTTGTATGAGTTAAACCAAAGATGATGGTTGTTATTTCTCTTGAAATGATATGAGCAAAATATCAGTATTATTTTATTATTTTATATATATAAAGGTTAAGGGGTAAATATGTTATTTTAATCTGATAGGAGGGTAAGTGTAATTTTTTAAACATGAAGGGAATCTGTATTAAATAGAAACTTCATTTCTTGTCTATTCACTTACATTTATTACGGTATTACCAAATACCGCCATTCACATTTATTACAGTATTGCTGAATTTTTGTATTTTTATATTTTTTTTTATTTGGTGAATTTAAAAAAAAAAATCACAAAATATTATACTTCTTAAGTATATCTAGATTAGGTGTATTTAAAAAAAAATTAAAAATTACTTAAAATATTAAAAAAATATATAGCAAAAATAAAAAAAATAAAAAAAATTCTTTTTTTTGTATGAGTTAAACCAAAGATGATGGTTGTTATTTCTCTTGAAATGATATGAGCAAAATATCAGTATTATTTTATTATTTTATATATATAAAGGCTAAAGGGTAAATATGTTATTTTAATCTGATAGGAGGGTAAGTGTAATTTTTTAAACATGAAGGGAATCTGTATTAAATAAAAACCTCAAGGGAGTGTTAGCGTAATTTACTCAAAAAAAGAAAGAGATAAAAAGGATTACAGCAATGGTAGAGGGCCACAAAAACAGTGGCTCAAATGGCTCAAAACTGTCAAAACGACGTCGTTTTGGGAGTTAACGACGTTATTTTGACAGTTTTGAACCATTTGAGCCACTGTTTTTGTGACCCTCAAACATTTTTCAAAGGATTAACTTGGTAAATGAGACGTTTAATCAGATTTGAAGTTTGAGTTTGAGTCTCACCTTTGTTCTCCTATTCTTAGATTGTTTAAAATAAATAATAAATAAACCAACTCTAAAAGGATTAACTTGGTAAATGAGACGTTTAATCAGATTTGAAGTTTGAGTTTGAGTCTCACCTTTGTTCTCCTATTCTTAGATTGTTTAAAATAAATAATAAATAAACCAAACCCCCAAAAAAAAAAAAAAAACAACTACCTAGGGTTGGTAAGCTCAACTTCTACCATGAATTTGCTCAATCCCATCTATCAAAACCCGCCCCAGCTCATGAACAATTAATCATATGGAATTCATGACCAAAACCTCAAATGCATGCTATAATGGAGTAATTTTTGCATATGGATAGGATATGAACCTAATATATCTTCTTCTTTTTTTTTATGATTGATGTAAATAATAAAATCTATTATATTTATGTTAGTATTTGAAAGACAACATAAAACGTAATCATTTATTATTATTGAATAATACTCTTCACCTGATACCCTATAACAGTATGTAATAATTTTACATTCAATGACATAATAGTTCAATTCCAATTATTTTAGGGATTATATTTTAGAAAGGAAAATCAGTACATTTTGTTAGGCTTTGGATCCAATTTTAACCTGGACCCGGAGGGACGGCCGGGTTTGCCCCACCCAGATTCAGCTATTCAATTTTAACCAGACCCTCAACCCAAAGTCAAGATTTTGTTATCCAAAATCCCCATCAGAGCATTAAATGGGTGCCACATACTGAACACCACATGTGATCAAAATAGCCATCTATCTATCCAATTCCACCACAAAAAATATGAATGAAAGAGCAAAACCAGAGTGCCACATACTACTGTGTGAGTTATAGAGCATTGGCAGCAACTTTTTTGTGGCACAAAAAATGGAATTATCTGCACAGTCTCTTTCCTGTGCCAAGCAGCTTCCAAACCCTCAAAGGCCTAGTTGTTCTCTATCTCCTCACCTCCACTCCAAACCATGTTCTCATCATTCTATATCTGTCCCCTTTCTGGGCCTTAATAAGAACATACCCTCAAAGCTACCATGCAGTAGACTCAAAACAAGGCAACAGAGGAACCTAGTTGTCCCCATAAATGCTTCTGGGGTTGAAACCACTGCAACAGATGATTCAGAAAGATGGCTTCTTGAACCTGTAGGTCAGTCAATACTGCTCTTCTCTGCTTTCTATAATGGGGTCAGGCTATCTGAATTCTTTTTCGTCATTCTGCTCTTTTTTGCCATTCTGTTCGATCAGGGCTATATACTCAATTAAATTAAATAAATTTTTATTTTTTTTCTATTACTAAAGTGAAGTCCCATAATTGCAAAAGCAAAAGTGAGTATAGACACAAGTTGCAGCTAATTCATGATATAACCAATTCATTCTCTAATCATTATCAGCTGAACCAAAATAAGTGGTCTACATCTATGTGGCACAATGTTAATTGCCTTATAAAGTGGAACTACAGGGTCATACCACATGATGCATATCATATTCTAGATCTAAATTGGTGTTGATTATGATCCATTGTGGTGGTGGTGGAGCCAACAAATTGTGAAATCAAAGTTGGCCATGTACCATGTTTTTTTGGTCATGTCTAAGGTGGTCTTCAATTATGCCCAAATTGGTGTTAGTTGCTTACAACCCAATGTGTTACGATGTGTATTGTAGAATTCCCCCAAAATTAAATTAGGAATTGCTTGTAATTTAACTGGTTCATTTTTGGTCTTCCTATTCACCACTGTATTCTGAACTGATATTGCTTCTTGGAATTCCATTCCTTAAAACTTCTTGGGACCTTTTTATTTTTGTTTGTTGGGTTTTTTGTTTATTTTCTTGTTCTTCAGTCTCTGCCATGTTGCTTTCAGTTGAATTTGTGGTTTGAAATTGTAATCTGAAATTATTTCTGTTTATTTTCTGGATGAACTCCCTGGCTTCACTATACCCGTCGAAATTAGTTTTTGCACACCGCCAATAGCTAAATATTTGACCTTTAATTTAGTGCAAATTTTGTTTGTAATATGTCCTTATATAATCATAATTGGAAGCTCTATCTTTTAATTCACTCTCAAAATCGTAAGACAGTTATACCACATACTCATGCTGGTCTGTTTCTCAATATAAAGATTTCTTCTTTGATTGGAAGACTATAAAATTTATTTGTTTGGACCTTTCGTTTCAAATTCCAAAATTTACTGCTTCTACTGTTCAGGAGCTTTCTAAAGATCATTTGGTTAGTGTTTGAACCAAGGTTTTAAAAAGCGGCCGCAACCGTTACGTAACGCTGCTACATAACGATTGTGGTAGTTACCGCCACCCGTTACGGCCGCTTTTGCAGTGTGATTGAGATTCACAGGTGTATCGGCCGTAGCGGCTGCTATAGCGGTCGTAACGGCCTATTGCGCACCGTTACGTAACCGTTCCGAATTGCTTCTTTCAAAAAAACAAAAAAAAAAAAAAAAAAATTGAAAATGGGGAAAAGAGATAGAGAGAGAATAGGGAAGATGAAGAACATATTATTGATTTGTTGAAGTTGTAAGACCTATGCTATTCTATTCAACTATTATCACTCAACCATTTTGTTTGTGTGTGTCTATATATATATTGTTTGAAAATAATAATAATAAGTGTAGTCATTATCTATTTGGCTTGATTAATATATATATATATATATAGACTTTTATTTATTCTCTTACTTTTGTCATTATTTATCTTATATATAATAGTTAGTGATTATTTTTTGTAAAATATAAAGTCATTAATTCTGAAATTATTTCTGTTTATTTTCTGGATGAACTCCCTAGCTTCACTATACCCATCAAAATTAGTTTTTGCACACTGCCAATATGCTAAATATTTGACCTTTAGTTTAGTGCAAATTTTGTTTGTAATATATCCTTATATAATCATAATTGGAAGCTCTATCTTTTAATTCACTCTCAAAATCGGATGACATTTATACCACACACTCATGCTGGTCTATTTCTCAATATAAAGATTTCTTCTTTGATTGGAAGGCTATAAAATTTATTTGTTTGGACCTTTCGTTTGTCAAATTCCAAAATTGACTGCTTCTTCTGTTCAAGATCTTTCTAAAGATCATTTGGTTAGTGTTTGAACTAATCAAGTTTGCTATATCTCATTTTACTTGTACCTCTTTTTTGCCCTTCAATTTTGTACCTTTTATTCAACACATGACAATACATGATGTATATACAAATTGGTAACTATATAGGTGACGGTGACTCCAAACACCTAGGTTATAAGGTTTCAATGCCCAGTGCATTCGAAATAACTTCTGTAAGTACTTCAATTGTCATCTTTATGGTTATTTAGTTAATACTATGCACAAAATGTTAACCATATATTTTTGTTGATTCTTCAGAAGATAGTCACCGTTGGGCGTGCTCCTGAGAAAGCAGATATGGTAATACCTGTTGCAACAGGTACTCAAAAACTTGAATTGTTGATTAGTCATTGCTTATCCCCATGAATAATAGCATATCAATTTCTGATAATACACATGATATAACCGCTCTGATACCACTTGTTAATCTTTTCAGAACATAAAACCTTATGCTATGGATCATCTATCATGTGTATCATCAAGAAATTAAGACAAACATGTGTACCCGAATCCATTGTTATAGTTGAACGGAAGCGTAATTGTCAATACATCCTTTGATATTGCCTTTGTTATTGCCTTCCAATCCTTTCCTTCCTTAGTGCCTTAAGTTTCTCCTTGAGAGGATATAGAAGAAATTGGCAGTTCTTCCTATCAGGCAGGATTAGGGACCATAACAACTTAAGGTTAAATAGGTTTTCAAAAACAAAAACCGTGTGGCAGTTTCTTAAGAAAATGAAAACCAACTTAACCAATTTTGTTTTAATTTCTATTTCTGCCCCTCATAGAAATAGAAATTTCTCAACTAGTATCTACACATTAGGTCCATGACACATATACCCTCAAGCCTATTAACTAAATTGAATTACTTAAATTGTAGGCTTCTTATAAATGATAACACCACATTTAAAATATGTGGTCCCATTGAGACATTATCTAACAATCTCCCACTGGACCACATAAGTATCTTGAAAAATGTGCTTAACTTTAGTGAGCTCAGAAATTTGTTATCATAACTTGAGGGTATCCAAACAATCTTGTCCATTAACTATATTAATATAGGATCAAAGCGGTCTTCGTTACATCAATCGTAACTCGACCCACCAATGGTCACGTATACAAATATAGCTAAATGACATAGATCAATCGTGGATGCGTAGCATGGAAATTACATGTGATGTGATCCGTACATGCCTATTTCCAATTGGTCCTACTTAACTTTATTGAGATCAATACTTCACAATACGTAACAGAGCGTAATAAACTGAATATTTCATTTCTGCAGAAATTAATCTAATTACATAGATAAAACTCAAGGCTGACATAGAGCAGTAATATAAATACAAACTCCCACTAAACCAAAGTGTTCTCAAAGAGAACAACACTCATACGAGCAGTGTGCTCATGAAAGACCTTGGGTGGTAGTCCCTCCGTAAGTGGATCCGCTATCATGGAGTTTGTCCCAATGTGCTCTATGGAAATCTGTCCACTCTGCACTCTTTCTTTTACAACTAGGAACTTGATATCAATATGCTTTGATTTTGTCGAGCTCCTGTTGTTATTGGAATATAAAACTGCAGACTTATTGTCACAGTATAACTTAAGTGGTCTTTCAATGCCTTCCAAAATACGCAACCCAGTGACAAAATTCCGCAGCCATATTCCTTGATTTGATGCCTCATAACATGCTACAAACTCTGCGGCCATGGTGGATGAAGCTATGAGCGTCTGCTTTGCAGACCTCTAAGAAATTGCTCCGCCAGCTAACAGATAAATATAGCCTGATGTGGATTTCCTACTGTCTTGGCATCCAGCAAAATCAGAATCGGAATACCCAATGATCTCTAACTTATCCGACCTCCTATATATGAGCATATATTCCTTTGTTCTCTGTAAATACCGCATAACTCGCTTGGCTACTTTCCAATGATCCATGCCAGGACTACTTAAATATCTGCCTAACATGCCAACTATGAATGCAATATCCGGACGTGTACATACTTGGGCATACATTAGACTCCCTACAACCGAGGCATAAGGAATCTTCTGCATTTCTTGAATTTCAAGATTGTTCTTCGGGCATTGGCTGAGACTAAACTTGTCTCCCTTAGCAACCGGGGTTTCAACTGATTTACAATTTTGCATGCCAAATCTATTGAGTACTTTTTCGATATAGCTCTTTTGTGATAATCCTAGAATACCCCGAGAACGATCTCAGTGTATTTCGATTCCTAATATAAAGGAAGCATCACCAAGATCTTTCATTTCAAAATTCTTAGATAGAAATCTCTCGGTGTCATGCAATAAGTTTATATCGTTTGTGGCAAGCAATATATCATCAACATATAAAACCAAAAATATTTGTTTACTTCCACTGAACTTGTGATACACACATTCATCAACAACATTAGTTTCAAAACCATGCGAAGTGAGTACTTGATGAAATTTGAAGTACCACTGACGAGAAGCTTGTTTGAGTCCATAGATGGATTTAGTCAATTTGCAAACCATATTCTTTGGGTCTCCTGACACAAAGTTTTCTGGCTGCACCATATAAATTGTTTCTTCAATGTCACCATTAAGAAAAGTTGTTTTGACATCCATCTGATGCAACTCAAGATCAAAATATGCAACAAGCGCCATAATTGTTCTAAAAGAATCTTTCGTAGAAACTAGAGAGAAAGTTTCTTTAAAGTCAATTCCTTCCTTTTGAGTAAAGCCTTTGGCTACAAGACGTGCCTTATACTTCTCCACATTACCATTTGAATCCCTTTTGGTTTTAAATATCCATTTACAACCTACGAGCTTCGCACCAACTGGTAATGGGACAAGTTTCCAAACTTTATTGTCTTGCATAGACTTATATTCTTCATTCATGGCTTTTATCCATTTATGAGAGTTGGAACTTTCCATGGCTTGACGAAAGTTGATTGGATCATCTTTCGACATTCCATTTTCTACCTCATGTTCCTGGAGATATACAATATAATCATCCGAAATTGCAAATCTCTTTTCTCTCGAGGATCGCCTTAATGGCACAAGTTCTTGAGGTTGAGGTTGTAGAGTTTGTTCCTCAGGAACAATTACCTCATCTTGAATGAGGGGTTGAACTATATTGTCTTGAACAACATTGTCTGGTTAAGGATCCGAAGTTATTTCTCTAGCAATGACGGGTATAGGAACCTGTAATTGGTCAAAAGTAGTAGTAGGAAGTGGGATTACTCCTGCTTCCTCCTCAAAGACAATGTCTCTAACTGGATTTCTCCCCCCAAACTCAACATCCTCAAAAAATGTTGCAATTCCCGTCTCAAATATTGACCTATTTGTGGGATCATAAAACTTGTAACCCCGTGATCGTTCGGCATAGCCAATGAAGTAGCTGCTAATGGTTTTGGAGTCCAATTTTCTTTCATGAGGTTTATAAGGCCTCGCCTCAGCAGGACACCCCCACACATGCAAGTGTTTTAGACTAGGCTTTCGCCCAACCCAAAACTCATAAGGTGTTTTTGCAGCTGCTTTAGTTGGCACCCGATTTAAGATATAAGTTGTTATCTTTAGAGCCTCACCCCAGAGGGACTCTGGTAAAGTAGAATGACTAATCATACTTCTTACCATATCCTTAAGAGTCCGGTTTCATCTCTCAAATACACCATTCATGCTAGGTGATCCTGGCATGGTGTATTGTGGGGCGATTCCACATTCCTCCAGGTATTTGGCAAACGGTCCTGGACGTTGTTCACCTGATCTATCATATCTGCCATAGTATTCACCACCACAGTCAGACCTGACACTTTTTATCCATTTGTTGAGTTGTAACTCAACTTCGGCCTTAAATTTTTTGAATACGTCCAAAGACTATGATTTCTCATGGATACGAAATAGATGCCCATATCTGGAATAGTCGTCTATGAATGTGATAAAATGCTGTTGACCATTCCAAGACGCCATAGGGAATGGCCCACAGATGTCCGTATGAATTAATTCTAAGACATCTGTAGTCCTATGGGCACCAAATTTCTTCATTTTGGTCTGTTTTCCCTTGATACACTCAACATAGACATCAAATTCTGAAAAATCAAAAGAGTCCAAAATTCCATCAGACACAAGGCGCTCAACTCTAGATTTAGAGATGTGACCTAGGCGTTTGTGCCATAATGAGGTTGAATTTTCCTTAGTTAATTTACATTTTGTACCTCGTGATTCCACGTGCAAGGTTTCATTATAAGATGCAATAGTTTCTAGCAAATATAGATTATCAAATGTATTAAGTAAACCAGTACCAACAATATTTGAATTAATAGACATACTAAACTTCATATTTCCAAAAGAACAACAATATCCAAATTTGTCCAATACAGAAATAGAAATTAAATTCCGTCTAAAGGACGGTACAACAAAAATGTCTATTAAGTCCAAATAATAACCAGTTTTCAACAATAATCTAAAGTGCCCTATTGCCTGCACTTCTACTGACTTGACATCACCCACAAAGATGTATTTTTCAGCATCAGTTGGCTTTCGGTAGTTCAGGCAACCCTGCATAGAAACACATATGTGAGTAGTAGCACCAGAATCTACCCACCAAGTGTTTCTTGGTACTGAAGCTAAATTTATTTCAGAACAGACCAAAACATAATATGTACCTTTCTTTACACGCCAGGCGACGTATTTGGCACAATCCTTCTTTCTGTGTCCGGGCTTGCCACAAAAGAAACAACCATCGTGCACTTTCTGTTTCTTTGGTTCCGGACCCTTAAGAGCAGCAACTTCCTTTCCCTTATGCTTTCTTTTGCCCGTATGCTTGGAGGTGCTTGCCAGATAAGCACTTTCAGTCCTTTTTTGCTTCAATCTCTCTTCCGCTTGCACACAAAATGAAATGAGCTCATTGAGAGTCTATTTCTCCTTCTGGCAGTTATAACTGACCTTAAATTGGTTAAATCGTGCAGGAAGAGAGATGAGAACTAAATGCACGAGCAAATCATCAGATAGGTCGAGCTTTAGTGCCTTAAGTTTTGAAGCAAGATGAGACATTTCCATGATGTACTCGCGAACATTACCCTTGCCTTTATACTTCATTGAAATCAAGCTTGCTAAAAGCGTGCTTGTTTCAGCCTTATCATTTTTAGCAAAACGCTTTTGAATTTCTTAAAGAAATTCACCGACAACGGTAACATCCTCTGTTATTGCACCCCGAAAGACTTCTGGAATCCCACGCTTCATGATCATAAGACTTAGCCTGTTAGAACGATCCCACTTTTCAAAGTACACAATTTCCTCAGGAGTACTTTGTTTAGTGAGATCATTCAGTTTTGGCATTCTTAATGCCAAGTCTATGTCCATGCAGCCGAGAACAATCAATATGTTCTCTTTCCAGTCCTTAAAGTTTGTTCCATTTAACATTGGAACATTGTTCATGTTGGCAGAGATTGAAGTAGTCGACATTAAAGCTGAATAGAAAATAAAATAAAACGAATAAACAATTATGCTCACTTTAAGTAACCAAACAGATAATCTCTAAATAAATTAATTTAATTACAACATCTCAAGATACCTAGCACAACATTAATACCAAGTCTTTGGGTAGTGATATTAACAGTAAGTGGTATTCTTGTTGTAATGATCAAACATTGACAATAAGTTATGTCAAATAACAAATCTATCTTTTGATGAATTTATTATTCACATTAGGTTTCCTTGACAATTGGCACATGTTTATCACCCCTAAATGTGTGTGTAATTCTGCCAAGTATTAATCATGTCTTTGGACCGATAAATACCCGCATGATGTACACATACATGAACATCAAAACATTCCATATAAAACAATCTAATCAAGAGAGATCACTTTTGTGACATCTTGTTTGAATTGACTTATATTTAGAACGTTAGAAAATTAAATTTCTGTAGACGTTGTATGAAATTACATTAAATTTAAATGACTTTTATTTAGAACGTTTAGAAAATTAAATTTCACCTGTAGACGTTGTATGAAATTACTTTAAATTTAAAGATTTCTTAATGCGTTACCCCGTATATATTATATAATTTGCAGTAATCAATTATATACATATATATATAATTGACGGTTCCAAAAAATAGTTTTTTTTTTTGCCACAAATCACATGCATGAATAGATTATTAAATGCCAAAGACCAAGCCACAAATCACATGCATGAACAAAGACCAAACCACTTCTTTATTGTGAAAATAATAACACAATGGTGCTCTATTTCAAACACCCCGAAAAAACAATAAAGAAGGAAAGTTTGTTTTTTTTTTTTTTGTTTATGATGTTCAAAATCAAACCGCATGAAATATATATATATATACAATGTAAAATCCAAATGCAAACTGATGCATTAGAAGGATTTATAAATAAATAAATAAAAAAACCAGAAAATACAGAATTTGCAACAGTAAGAAAATTCAGAATCTGCAAACCAGGAAACTAAATTGCATGAATAATAGCATATCAATTTCTGATAATACACATGATATAACCGCTCTGATACCACTTGTTAATCTTTTCAGAACATAAAACCTTATGCTATGGATCATCTATCATGTGTATCATCAAGAAATTAAGACAAACATGTGTACCCGAATCCATTGTTATAGTTGAACGGAAGCGTAATTGTCAATACATCCTTTGATATTGCCTTTGTTATTGCCTTCCAATCCTTTCCTTCCTTAGTGCCTTAAGTTTCTATTTGAGAGGATATAGAAGAAATTGGCAGTTCTTCCTATCAGGCAGGATTAGGGACCATAACAACTTAAGGTTAAATAGGTTTTCAAAAACAAAAACCGTGTGGCAGTTTCTTAAGAGAATGAAAACCAACTTAACCAATTTTGTTTTAATTTCTATTTCTGCCCCTCATAGAAATAGAAATTTCTCAACTAGTATCTACACATTAGGTCCGTAACACATATACCCTCAAGCCTATTAACTAAATTGAATCACTTAAATTGTAGGCTTCTTATAAATGATAACACCACATTTAAAATATGTGGTCCCATTGAGACATTATCTAACAACATCTATACATGACTTGTATGTGCTTACTAAATCATCCACTCATAGAGCATTTTTCTTGCTTGACTGGACTTTACTTACCATAATTAACTATATTTAGTATAACGATCTTCTATGCATATAACAATAAGGATGAGTCTAAGAATACAGAAACCAGAATGTATATGGATGGGTATGATATTTTAGATGTGAATCCCACCAACAAATTTTGCAGGGTCTTATCCATTTATTCATATATATTCTGTGTCTGATTCTGTGGAAGTTTTTGTGTTGATTGCAGAACTAATGTGTATAATCAATTAACCATTAGTTGAGTAAACTGATGACGAATTGGAGAGAAACTTCGACTAGATTCAAATTAATTCGTGTGACTAAATAGAACGGCTGTGTTTCCCTTGTGTATTCATTTGGTTTTCTTTCCAATCTTAAACAGTGTCAGGTCTGCACGCTCGCATTCAGAAGAAGGATGGGAATCTTTTTGTGACAGATTTGGACAGCACCAATGGTACATTCATTGGTGGAAAACGGCTTAGACCCGGTGTTGCTGCTACAGCACCATCTGGAAGTTATATTACATTTGGTACTCTTTCTTTATCTTGATCTTATCCATTTAGTTTACTTTTCTACTTTTGGGTTTAGCGTAAGTTGGAATGCTGTACCCACCAGTTGGTAGCAAATTGATGGTGAAAAAAACAAAAGCACACTTATTAGAATCGGAAACCACACTTGTTTCCAATTCATTGCGATTCAATTTTGTTTATGCTTGCATAATGCATGAAATGATGTCATTTTCGCCTCTCTATCAAGAAATAAAAAAAGAGATCAATTAGTTATATTCACAATTCAATACAAATTAGTAATCATTATTTTAGCAAAACAATTCACCATTTCATCCACAATTTGATAACAATGGTTCCAACACCAAAGGCCTATGCAAGTCTTGAGTTATAACATTGATTTTAAGGGGGGGAAAAACTTCAATGCGATGATGATACCACATCATCAGTATCACCATTTTACCCTCCTATGCATATGTGGTAAGGTAGTTTTATCTGAAAAGTAGGCGTTCATCCTTGCGATGTAGGGTTTATTATTTGTTGATGATACCACGTTATCGGTATCACTGTTACATTGAATGTTTACTCGATTTTAAGGTCTTATACACATACACATACATTTGTATATACATAAATTTCAATTATAATCATCTTAATTTTGTTTAAATGATTTTTCTTTGTTGGAAGGGGATATCCATCTAGCAATGTTTCGTGTTTCAAAGCTAGAGAATGTGGAAGCTTCTGGAAAATCAGAGGGCTCCGAAAGTAAACCAGAGAGTGAAGAAGACCCAAGTGATAATTCAGAGACCACTGGTTAAAGTTTAGGGAAAATTATTGTAAAATCCCATTTGGGAGAGTTTTGAACTGAGTAGTCCTCCGTATTTTTTAATACCCTTGGAAGTGCTGTTTTTTTTGGTAATGATATAAGGAAGATCCCGTTTGTGTGTTTTGGGATTGATTTTGTGACGCTTTTACCCTTCATTGTAGTGTGTAATGTTTTGACAAGGGGAGTGGTAAATCCCGTTGATTACGTTGTTCTGATGTCTACCTTTGGGAAGGACGTGCGTGGGTGGTGTCTTTGTCTGTATATTTGAATTCCGGGGTGGGGGTGCTGAAGGTAATAACGTTCGGTGGAGTGTTGATTGCGGTTGACGGGCTGGGAAGTTGCAAAGAAATGAAGTAGTGTTTTTGGTTTCCTTGCGACTACATTTTTCTAAAATGTGCTTTGTTTTTGTGTTTGGATTTTGTTTGATTTGTGTGGGGGAATGGGTAATGTTGCATTGCGGTGTGGCAATGGTAGATGCGCGGCATTATGTGACAGGGTCACGTGATAGGTCACGGTTAGCATATGTGGTTACGAACGCACATTGTATGATGCATATTTGTTGTATGGTTACATTTTTTCCCACATCACACGGGTGTCATGTAGCATACTTAACACGGACTCAATGTATGGTTTTTTTCCTGAATTTAATCACATGTTTGTTTTATTTCATTGAAGGGATGGGGGACAACACTATGTTATTGTGTTCTTATGATGCTAATAATGTCGATGTCATGGTGGATGGTGTGCGTTCACATTCACGCCGTTCGTTACATTTCAAATTTAAATATTAGGATGTTTCGTCCTTAGTTTCGCCAAACAATTGGTTACCTCGTTTAATATAAATAACATTGTCTCGTTTCAGTACATGAGTCGAAAGCACTTTACCCCAATTTGCAATTGTATAGATATGAAAACACATTTGAATGCTTTGTTTGTGGTATAATTTAAATGTTCACCATGACTTGGGAAAACAGCCTAACAAACACTTTTCGGCTTGCGTTCTGATTAACAATTCGCATCGACATGACATGTTTCAATAAGCAAAGCCACCACCCCACAAGACATCCATTCCCATAGGAGGAACTCTTCAGAATTGTTTAACACACTTGGCTGTTTAACACACTTGGCACACAAATTTTCACACCAATCTCATTTCGAAATACTTCTCCCTTACGAGTAATTATTCAATAATTTCGAAATATGAACACATGATATTTTATAACATTGTGATTGATGAAAAATGTGAATAGATAGACTATTGTATTGAGTGATTAAAAAACATAAATAAACATATTAAATGATAATTATTTAAAGAATTTGCACACATGATGCTCTAAGAACCTTAAATAATTTCCCTCCCTTACCCTACATGAACTTTTTTTTTGGTTACAGGAAAATCCTCTCACTCTCTCGCAGGTCCAAGGCAGCGCCCCTTAAGGAGATCACCAGGGTGTCGTGTTGTCTATTCCGAGTAAGAGACTATAACCTGGAAGCTTGTCCCGACCTCCCAAGGCAAGCTCCGCTTAAGTCAGGGACCTCCCAAGGCAAGCTCCGCTTAAGTCAGGACTCGCAGAGCGGGGGAGAATTAAACCCACACCAAGTAGCTGATAAGGCATCCTTGAGGTCAACCTCCTAACCAACTGTGCTACGCCCAGAAAATTGACCCAGAGGGGAGTTGAACCCAGGACCTAGGGGCTTAAACCCCAGGCCCTTACCAAGTTGCCACTCATGAACTTCAAACATGACCTTCAAACATGGTTTACATATATTTTAGAACATTTTCCAAACGTCTCACGGGGCAAGTACAAATGCGGGTGGGTCAACCCAACGTGGAAGACCATAAAAGGCTATAGTACGCTTTTTTTCCAGATGTGTCAGAGCATAGAATGCAGAACAATCATAAATTACCATTACTAATTAACCACAATGGCCAAAAACGGAAATTAGCAGATAATGAGACTTCCAAGTGTATTAAGGCTTCGTTTGGGAACAGATTAATTTAGTAACTTTTTAGTTATTTGGCTAAAATATGAACTAAAAAAATTAGTATGTTTGGGATGATTTTTTTACTTTTTACAAAAAGATGTGCAAAAAGTAAAGAGAAAAGAGAATCTTTAACTTTTTTGTATGGGTTGTTGGCTTTTTAGCTTTTTTAGTAACTTTTTAACTTTTTGACTAAACCGGTCTCTTCCCAAACGAGGCCTAAATAAAAGTTGGGATGATTAATTCACAAGTCATTCATTTGGGATTTGTAGGTCAATCACCCTAAAATTTAAGAGCAATTCCATTAATTAGACTTTTTTATCTTTAGATTTTGATTGATAAATTTATCAATATAAATTTATTTATAAAAAAAAAAAATTAATAAATTTATCACTTGATAAATTTATCAATAGGATTTAATAGGTAGTAAAAATTTCAAAAATAAGATCTATTGATAATTTATCCTAAAATTTAATACATATTGTTGTAGAACATTCAGTTAATATTTGAATTCTTTGAATTCCAAGTCTATGAGAAAATTATTCACCCAAGAAAGCAGTCTATGAGGAAATTTATTATTTGATATTTCTATTTTTATTTTTATTTTTGGTTTGATAAAGCCTCTTGTATCTTCTCAAAATTTTCATAATAAATATTATTTCAATATTAAAAAATAAATAAATAAACTGCTGTTGACCAAACCTTGCTCCTCCTTCTTCTTCATCATCTTCAGAAAAAACACAGAAAAAATTAAAATAAAATAAAAAAACATCAAAACGACGTCATTTTGGTGTCGAGCCAAATTCGAACCTCCGAATTTCGAGCTACGAATCGGAACTGTTTTCGGAATAAGAACTTGATCGCTTTTGTACACTTCTAAAGGTTTTTTCCACTCTTTATTATAATGAGTTGTTGATTTTTTTTTGTTTTTTTGTTTTTTTTTTCTTCTATAAGCTAAATATTTAGAGAAAATTGCAAATTAGTACATGTTTTCAAAAATAATTTCAGATCAATGGTAAAGTTTACTAATTTTTATAATTAAAATTTTGATTTTTTTATGAATTTGTAAATATTTTGTGATGTTTACTTTGATTTGTAATTTTTTCAAATATTTATTATTGGATGATAATTGTCCAATTTGACTAAATTGACTTATATTTGAAAATAATCAACTGCTTGAAAAACATAAAGATAAAAATGTGTTTATGAAGAGTGTTAAAAACTCATAATTTAAATTCCATAACTCCCTCACAGAGATTATTCGACAGACTTGAAGCAACACTATACATCATTTAAATTGTGCCGCTTGCGTTTGTCAAAAGCCAACACAAAAGTAGTATTTCTCACTATTTCAACCAATAAAACACTAATGGGGACACTAACATATCATGTCATTGCAAGCATAATTGTGGACCTTATATTATGAGTTTTGATATTTTTTATTGATCATATGCCTTACGATACATCTATAATAAAAAATATTTGTGACCCTTAAAAAAATGTATCTATTTTTGTAACAAATGGTTTGAAAAAAAACAAAATTTTCCTCAATTTTGGTCTATTTTTTAGGTGGGACCCATGCGCCAAAGTTGGCGGGTCTAAGTGGTAACGCGTTCTATGCCGCATTGTGATTCACGTAGTATATTTGGTTGTTCAAACCATTATCGGGTGAATGAGAAATTGAAACTAAATTGAGCTTCATGGAAATGGTATATTGGTGAAGTTTCCTTAAAGGTTTGAATTAAAGGTTTGTCCTACATTGATTTGGTGGGGCAAATTTTTGTGGGTTTATAAGGCATGGATTTGTAACTTAGGGAGGGCCTCAAGAGGTACCCAAGTTTTGTGGAAATGTGAGGTTATAGGTAGAGTGGGCTCGACTCATTAGATCCAAAATAAACACACGCGCGCCGCCCGTCGGTCGGGTAGGCTGGGCTTGGGCTCAGGTGCGTAATGTATGGTTGGGTTGGGCTTGTCTGACCCAATACTTATCTTTTTGGACCAAAAATATTTGAATTTATTTTTAATTTTTGGAAAATAAAATCTGTCCAGAAATTCAAATTTTTTTCTCTTCAAACAGATTCATATCTGTTCAAGTTCAAACCCAACAAGTTCCTATCTATGTGAAATAAAACCGAACAAATTCAGTTTTTATTCAAAATTCAAACCCAAACAGTGCCTTACCTACTCAAATAGTACCGAACAGTTATTATACCTGTTCAAATAGGTTTGCTATCTGTTTCATTCAAACCGAACAACCACTATTGCATCTATAAATAGACAAGTCCCTCATTTGGTTTTTCACTCAATTTTCGTTCTCAAATCTGCTATTGCTCTCTGTATTTTGCTGCATTAAATTTTCTGCTGTGAGAAAGTGTATAAACATAAAGTGTGTTCGTTGTGCAAATAATTTGTAGTGCTGCTATTATTCGTTGTTGATCATTTTATCTTGAGAGATAGACGTCCACAATCTGAAAGTACCGTGGAGATGACGAATCTGTCTTTAAGGACACAGTGTTAAACATTGAATTTGATCAAAAATTTATTCAAAAAAATAATAACTTAAGTGCCTTGATTACTTTTCTATTTAATTATTTTTTCTGTTCTAGATTTTGATTTTGTTTTTATAACAAAATAAAAATATGTTTGTTATTTATTTATTTTTATACACTGTTTTGATTTTTGTAATCAAACAGTCTCTCTCCTTTCCTTTATTTCTTATGTGTTCTGTTTGTTGTTAAGTACACAAACATAATTTATTCTTAATACAGTGAAGATTGTCCAACAATTTTAACTCTCAATAATATAACATGACATATGTCGATTTTTAATTTGTCACACTCAACCATATAAAACGTTTTTCCCTTATCTTATTATTACGGATAGTGTTATTCTATGTAGACAATCTAAGAGGGGGTGAATTGGGTTACTAAAAAATAATTTCACAATATTTTTATACCAATGTAATAATTGAATTTCAACAAGCAAGTAATAATAAAAATTCGAATTACAACAAATAAAAAATATAACAATAATAATTAATATAAAAGAGATCGGGAGAGAAGAGCAAACATAGAGATTTATAGTGGTTCGGTTCACTGGGCCTACGTCCACTCCTTAAAAATCCTTCTCGAGAATTTCTTCACTATCAAATAAATCAATACACCACTAAGGCTTCTCTAAGATTATGGATTTTACAGGTCTTACTCTTATCTATTAAGTCTCACTCAGCAATAAATGCCTGACATTTACAGGTTTTCTCTCACAAATTCATCAATAAGGATAAGAGATATTTCAGCCATTTTTTTACAACAATTTCTCTCTTTCTATAAAATAGATATAAAAGTGAAGGAGCAAAGAGAATAAATAACAACACTTTGAGAATATC